TCTTTCCGGACCGACTGATGGGAGGCGGGGTGGTGGAGGTCCTTGCACCGCACTGAGTCCGGGACTCAGGAGTGGGGGCTTGGAGTCCAAGTTTGGACGGCGACCTAGACACCCGGGATAGGAGAGTGATGGGTTGGTCCTGCTTGTGCCTGGGGTACAAGCGGGGCGTGTGTTTTTGGGGCACCCAGCTAGGCACATTGGTTCGCGAATCGCCGCTGAGTCGGTATGACTTGTCTTAACTCTAGCATCGTAGTAAGAACTGAAAGTTGAAAGGAGAAGAAATGGAACTGATTGCTCAACTCTTGCTTGAAAGTAGAACATGTGCTTATATAGACCGGCTAGAGAATAACTTAATACGGCTAATAATAATAATATAAATAAGGACTCACTATTGGTATTACTTTCTGCTAAAAAAAGCAGCAAACCATAAAGCTTATCATATTCCTTAGAGTCGAGAAATTATTCCCTCTAGTCGGATAAGTCTTGCGAGTACATTGTGTACTCAGGGTTTATTTACCCCTGTTGCAGGTGATGCTTGAGGAGTACCCCTTGTGTGGAGGATTCTTCTGGTGGGCACAGACGGATCCTCGCCCCTTATCGCTAAATGTTCATTTAAATTCCGCTGTTTATTATTCCGCACTCTGGTATTTGGTATTGTAATAATGTACTTTTTAAGAAAATCTGATGTATGAAATAGACAAGTATTGTAACTCATTTCCATTATCGGATCCTTGGGAAAAATGTGGATCTTTCGGGTTCTCCCTTGGGGTGTGCCCGACGGATACCGCCCGCTGTAGCTTGCTTTCGAGGTGCTTAGTGTCTGGTGGAAGATGAGCACCTCCGTAAGCGTGTTATTTCGGGCGGTTCTGCCACAGTTGGTACCAGAGCCAATAATGGTTACGAGTTTCATCACTCTTTTTCAAAACTTAAAATTTGACCAACAAAAGTTTTGCGAAAAGTAGGATGCGATTAAGTTAAGTTAAATAAGTATAAGCTCTAGCAATATGGTCTATCTAGGATAGCGGCACTGGTTTCATCTAATCAGTTTTCTGCAGGTACACTGACTTACGTTGCGTAAGAAATCGCTTAGTATACGGAAAGTGAGTGTGCGATGTGCCGAAAATTTTACGAATGCCGCTATATTCCGGCTCGAGTGAACGTATAGGCCAAAGCATGCATCATAATAATAGCATCTTACTCAAATTGAAATCCCCCTTCAAGTATAATTGAGTTAGTAAATTGATAGGACTAACTAAAGGAATGCTTTCATAATGGTGCTGTCATCTCTCTAATCTCTTGATTCTGATCGGGAGGGTGTTCTAATGGATGGTTCACATCTCTTACAGATGAATCTAAGGTCTGGACGCGGGAGCACCAGTTCTAGGGCAGCTCACGAGGGCCAGGGTGACAGTGGCCGGGCCATTGAGCACGGCAGCGGGGGAGGTCAGGAGGTTCCACCTCTGGCTCCTCATCCTTTCCCACCGCCGCCACCGCCTCCGCCGATGACTCCTGCAGAGATAATGGCGGAGCTGTTGGCTGCTCGCCGGGAGTCAGCTGCTGCTCACCACCACGCGCCCCGCACCGCGCCACACCACGCGGCCCCACGTTACCACTGCCACCACGCGGCCCGCACCGCGCCACCACGGCCACCACACACCGCTCACCACCGTGCACACCGCTCCACGTGCTACTGTGGCCGGAGCCTCGCCACACTAGTCTTGAGGGAAAGGGAGAGAGACGTGATGAGAGAGAGGGAGCCATGCATGTGGAAACAAGAGAGAGAGGACTCACCGCACCGGTCTTGAGGGAGAGGGAGCAGCGCCTGTGGAAAGGAGAGAGAGGAATGAGACTGTAGCTCCAAACCCTAGTCCATGTATATATATGAACATGATAAGGTGCGACAGACTGCAATTCCTTTGCTGGGCCACGGACTATTAATGGAGATGGGCCTCTTAAGAGGTACGTCTCTGAAAATAGCCTCCATTTCTGAAGGCAGACTTGTTAAGAGGCCCGCCTTTGTTAATGAATTTTAGGAGGCGGGCAACATGTGACTGCCTCTGTTAATTAGTGATTAACAAAGGCGGGCGCTCAGCCGGTGGCCCTGCCACCGATTAACAAAGGCGGCCAACCAGTGTGACCGCCTTGTTAATAAAAGGGCACCACTTCGCAAAATCATTTATGGGGTAGTGGTGGCTACGGTACGGAGATGTCGAGCTTGACGGCGCCGGTGGACGACCCCACGGAGCGGCTCATCTATGCCAAGGGAGACTAGCTCTGGCTCAGCAAAATTCGTGGGCACCTCGCTGCTGGTCACACTAGCCGAGTTCATAATCCAACAGCAGCAGTGGAGGCTCCAGCGGGCCAGCGTCCTGCGTTGCGGTACGCAGTGGATCTGAACGCAATATCCGTGGCAGCATGCTGGCTGACTCGTAGGTGACATTCAAGTTGCAATTTCTTTTCTAGAGAGAAAGGAGATGGATGAATCAAGATTTGGCACTGTGCTTCTGCCACGATTGTATGCATTAGAATCATATTTCATATGTTTCATCTTGTATTGTCTGCTTGTGGATCATTCTTAAAGCTACTGAACTATTTGACTCACACAACTCTTGAATGGGATCCCCTCTTGAATTATTGGATCATCCTTGAACTATTGAATTCAGAGAACTTTTTTGTTCCTTGCATATATCATTCATTCACGGTAAGTATACACTACACCACAACACCGCTTCACCGTTAGACATCTAACGCTAAAAATTATATTTGACGATGGATGATTTGACGCTAAAGATAACTCAGAGACCATCTGACGCTAAATCCTCATTTAGCGATTTACTGTCTGTCGCTATAGATGTTCATGTTTAGCATTAGCCCATCTGTCGCTAAAACCAGATATAGCGTTGATCTATATGACGCTAAAAAAAATGGGCCCCACGTCCAGCTCACGTGCCCTGTCTCCATAAGCCGTTCGTGTGCAAATTTTTTCCTGGCCCACAGTACAGTGACAAACCCTAGACTCTTCCCATATGGTGCCCACGGCAAACGCACGCAGCCTCGGCCGCCTTATCCCATTGCTCGGCCATCGCTCCCCATCCACCCGCATCTATCTCTCCCTCACGACCTCCTCCCAGAAGACTGACACCGGCGTCGGCGCCCCTGCTCCTCCGTTCCCAATGCGAGCTCTCCCTCCCTCCCTTCTCCGGCGCTAAGGTCGCCCTGCTCCCTAGATGGGCCACGGTGGCACGGGTCAGGCATGGTGCACGAGCTCATAGCTGCCAACCATAACCCTAGCCGTCGGCCGATGGGGTGGCCGCCCTTCTTCTCCCCTAGCCAGATTGACGACGGCGTGTCCGCCCTTCTTCTCCCCCGACTGAATCTACTATGGCATGGCCGCCCTTCTTCTCCTCTAGCCGGATCCATGGCGAGTCGTCTACCCTTCTCCTCCGGCCAGATCCATGACGCGATGGCGGCGGCGGTGGCTGCGATAGCAGGTTCGTTGTTTCCTCTCTCTTTTTCCTCTCCTGCATGGTGGGTGGCGGATCCTGTGTTGTGGGTGGTGGATCTGGTGTTGTGGGGGCTCGGCATGGTGGTGGCTCCCCGAAATTTTGAACTGACCAGGGTAATGGATTAAGACCCACACGCTATGAAGGTCCTGAGGTTGATTAAGACAATTTTTGTTTTATCTTACTACAATTTGGGGTCAAGTGGGTAATGTATTAATATAAGGGCAAGTCACGTGTGGGTCGTCTTGAATAGTCTGTTCTTGGAGTCAAAGTAGCACAATTCTGGCAATATATTCCACATGTCTAAAATTAGTGTACAGTGGCCGAGGGAAATGCTATATAAGAATTTGTTTTTAAGGTGGCTGAGAGATGCATAATAACTATAAGATTCACATATATAAAATTTTGTTTTTAAGGAAAGTATGGTGTTGTTTTGTATGCTCCAATTGTGATTAAAGAATTCTGTAGCTAACTGGTATGCAAGTTGATTTGTTTGCTAATTATTTTATTGTTTTGTTCATTTCTATTCTGTTATGCATTTCCTTCCCATAAACATTCCAATTTCCTCACAATATCTTAAGAGTGTTGTGCATCAACTGCCGAAACAAAAGGTCAAAAATCAGGTCAACTGCTTCTAGCTTTCTAGAAACTTATTTGTTACTGACATATGTAATCCATCTGCTCTTTCTAGACTTTCCATGGCTTAGAGATGTGACTTTCCAGGAACTTATTTGTTACTGACCATTACCTGTAACTTTATATAACTAAAATGTTGTAATTCGATATGTTTTACTTGGGATGGTCTGTGACTATTAATTCAAGGTGTTTCTTTTGCCTTTTTATCACAACCGGATTTTTGATCTGTTATTTTTTCAACAAAATTGAAAATTGTTGTTTACAGTGAGTTTGGTTTGATGTGCTTGAATGATGACAGTTGTTGTCTGCAAGTGAGCATAAATAGTCGAACTTAGACATGGAACTGAATTCCAGTAATTGAGTGTTGTGTATACTTTGATGCTTTTACTTAAATATCAAAGCTTTTTTTCATTACTGATTTGCAGGAGGTGGTCACTAAACATGCTGACTTTCTTTATATTGTGCCTTTTTTATGGTTGTCCAGGGTTTGGCTGTGACAGTACAGTAGTGATAAACATACTTACTCATCGCGATTCAGTGAAACGTGGACTCATTCAACAGGAATACAGGGCTATGTATCATGAGGAACTCTTTCATCGTCTTTCATCTGAACTCAGTGGAAACCACAAGGCATGAAAAGTTCTCGAATAATTGTTCTCTTTATTAAATAATCAAATCGTTAATCTAGCTGTACCAATATGCTTCATCAACTGTACCATATATTCACCGATGAAAACTGATGATTAGAATCAATTAGCTAAAAATGTGGATATGTCTTGCTTCAATCGTGTGTTTACGTTTAATTTATCAAAATCGGTGTGTTAAATATGTTAACTTTGTTTCATGTGGCTCCAGAAAGCTATGTCGCTGTGGATTCTTGATCCTGCTGGACGTGATGCAACTGTTTTGAGAGAAGCTCTAAGTGGTGAAACTGTGGATCTGAGAGCAGCCACTGAGATTATATGTTCCAGGACACCATCACAGTTGCAAATAATGAAACAGACTTATTATGCTAGATTCGGTACATATCTTGAGCATGACATTGGTCACCACACATCTGGCGATCACCAGAAGGTCCTAATCCTTAGTACTTAGAATATTTGCCTTACATTTGTTCTACTTCACCTTATACATGATGATACATGAAAGACACTTAAATTACTCATTTTATTCAACTTTTAGTATTACACTGACCAACCTTAGGAAGGTGAATATTTGGCTATAATTTCTTTGGAACAACTTCCATGTGCTGCTAAATGACTGCATAATCTGCCATTGTGAGTCTAATGTCTGAAATATTCTCACATCTAAATGTCTGTGTTGTATAAGACTGATGGAATGGCCATTCTTCATTGACATATTGCAATTACTGATGTGAAGTTGATTCAATTGCTTTTCTGTAGGCTTTTACCTAATGCACAAAGGGATCTGAAGCATGAACTTCATGTGCTGTATGCCAATCAGTACTTTTTATAAGTTAGTAGTTAATATCTGTTCAAATTTAAATTGCACTTTTTTCTGCCAGAAGCAATTAACGATATAATGTATATTTCAGCTTTTACTTGTCTATGTGGGGATTCCACGCTATGAAGGTCCTGAGGTTGATCCTACCATTGTGACACATGATGCAAAGGATTTGTACAAAGCTGGTGAGAAAAGGCTGGGCACGGATGAGAAGACTTTTATCCGTGTTTTCACTGAACGCAGTTGGGCACACTTGGCATCTGTTTCTTCTGCTTACCATCATATGTATGACCGGAAATTAGACAAGGTAACACTTCTGTTTAGTACACTTCTGGAATAAGCATTTTTTTTAATTCTCTGGAATTTTTCACAGTGTCCTTTATATATGATAGGTTATCAAGAGCGAAACATCTGGAAACTTTGAATTTGCACTTTTGACTATCCTCAGATGCGCGGAAACCCCAGCAAAGTATTTTGCTAAGGTACTGCACCCATGCTGTTTTCAGTAAAGAAATATTGTAGCTTTTAAAGCTCTATGCAGGCACCGTAGGTACATAAAATCACTGATTGATTTAAAGTCAAGTTATGTTTTGCTGATAGATTTAGCCGCAGCCAACATCTATTCTTCTTTCTTATGAAATTTTAATTTAACATTTAGTGAAGCAAAGATCACTTGTTGATACGATACTGATATAAAATTTGCTGTACCATCTAGAGTTGATCTTTGTATATTTTATTTGTTATTTTGATTATATGTAAACTTGCTACCATTCCAAAGAATTATTTTCTGCTAATGCTGCAAAATGAGCATGTTGTGGATCGCTCTTGTATCTTCTGTGCCCATGATTGCTCTTGTATCTTCGGTGCCCATGACTCCCCTCATAGACTGTCCTAGCTGCCTTTTTCATTTGGCTTACCCTAGTATCTTAAATATGGGAATGCCTTTTTCACCTGGACGATGTGAAAGATCAGTTCTGGATGGTTGACACTTGACAACGAAGTGGGGTCCATGTCTTGCAACCTACAAGGTTGATGCAGAGGTAATCTTATCTGACGCCTGACCATCTTTGGTATTATACCTATACTTATGAATCCTGAGACTAAATGTTCTGCATTCCTTTCGTTCAAGATCTATTACTGTTTCTGCTCCTGTGTTTGGGTGTTTGCTGCTCTTGAATAGTATACAATTTATTACAATTGTGAACGTTTAGAATATTAACATACTGTCATGACCCTTGCACCTGTGCAGAACCCTGGTCAGTTTAAAGTGTATTCTGGTGGACTTGCATGGAAGAGACAAGGTGGAGGAAAGACCATTGAGATTGACAAAGCTGATGTAACCGCAGTTACTTGGATGAAAGTCCCCAGAGCATATCAGCTTGGAGTCAGGATTAAGGATGGCCTGTTCTACAGATTTATTGGCTTCCGTGAACAGGTCCCCCCTCTCCGCGCGTGCCTTTAATATTATGTAGTTTATTAATGGTGTTGGTATTGTAAATAAAGAGGTTGCTGCATCTGGAGAATTGTGTATTTAGAACACTTGAATCTGGATGCATTTCTCAGTAAAATTAGGATATATTTGTTGATGCAAAACTTATAATGTTAAAAGTAGCACTAGCTTTGTCTAGTTTTCTTAGAATTTTGGAAATCCACTTTGCTGACCAGATTTTCTATCTTAATATGGCATATGATTATAATGAATATCGCTTTAATATGAATTAGATCATGGAAAAGGAGAATGCTTAGTTTACCCAAGTTACTCTGCTGTGAAACTGAATAGTTTCTACCTTGCTATATGTGACATCTTATTTTGGTATATGTTTTTCATCTGTTGATTAAACCTTGAGCAGTTCGATCTTTATATCCACTAAAGCAAACTCTTCTTGTTCAAATTAAGGTGAACAGTTACTATATTCTTTCATGCCACTTGGTATGCCTGTCCTAAACAAATCTTGCAGAATATGGCATCTTTTGTACATACTGTATCTATTATGTAGTTAAGACTTACCTATAGATAATATTTGAAGGAATATTGTTCATGATTCTGTATGCAGTGTTATTCAAAGATGGAAAATTCAAAATTATATTTGGATTATCAGATTTTCTTTGGATTTGGTTGTCTTAAAATATTGTCAGTCATTTCTGAGAGTATGCTTTGACTTTTCAGTAAAGATGAATGGTGAGGTTAATATATTTCTCTTATTGTTACCTGACGAAAATATTTGATCTTGTCCTTTCTTGCATAGGATGTGAGCAGCTTGACCAACTTCATACAAAAGAATATGGGCGTCACACCAGATGAAAAATAGCTCTGTTAGTGGCCACAATTGGGGAGGGATTGATATAGATGGTAATTTGGGTGACCTTTTATTATTTTAACATGGGACCCCTTTTAACATATGTTCAGTTTGATTTTAATGTTTGTTACCCTTGCCTCTATAGGAAACATGCTAACCTTTATGGTTGGTTCAAAGCAAGCATTTGAAGTATCCCTAGCAGATGTTGCACAAACCCAGATGCAAGGAAAAACAGATGTTCTCTTAGAGCTTCATGTTGATGATACTACTGGAGCCAATGAGGTTTGTAGTGGACAATAGTTGTAGTGGATCCACTCATATTTTCTGCATTGCCAATGAGGTGCTAGTCGATCTCATTTAGATACATGAAGCTGATACTGTAGACTTATCATTGATGAATCATTGATTCATGTTTGTAATGGCTGACCATATATGTATGTCTTAGTGAGTATTTGGACTTGGTCATGAATGAATCTATTTGTATGAGAAACATGCACAATGATGTTACTTTTGTATTAATTTGCAACCAAATGGTCTTTTATTTTTTAATGCATTTAAATGATCCCATCAAACCATCAGTCGCTGAAAACATTTGTAACTTCAAATTGTCTGTCGCTATAGAGTACTGGGAGGCTATCTGTCGCTAAAGAGTAGCAGTAGACTATCTGTCGCTAAAAAAATTCAGGGCAACGGACTGTCTGACGCTAAAGATTTTTAGCGATAAGACTTACAGCGTCTACAGAAGTCTGTCGCTATAACTTTTTAGCGTCAGATTGTCTGTCGCTGTAGCCGCTTTTAGCGTCATACCGTCCATCGCTAATCTTGGTATTGTGGTGTAGTGATAGTTCAGACATACATATATATATATATATATATATGTTGTACATATTCAGATTCAACATACTTTTATTTATTTATGAGTGAGTGATTTGTTTGTATTTCAGTTTGAGTTGGTTCAAGAAATAAGCTAGGTGATAGTGTTTTGTATGATTGTCAGTTATATTCATTGAGCAACATATTTTCTTCCAAAGGGATAAAGACGACATAATAGAGATATTCAAATCATTCAAAAAGCGACAGGTAAACAAGTCAGAAAGTAATTGTAAGTCTCTTTTTTATGACTATATCTCAGACTATTTGTATTCATCATTTTAACTATTTATATGGTCTTGCTGCCATTTCTAGCTTATTCTTTTAATTTAATGCTTATGATGTTATTTAATGTACATGGTTTTAATGAATTAACCCCTCTTAATGAAACACAACTCAACGAAGTTGTTCTCGAAACCCTAGGTTCGTTGTGGTGGACGCTTCTTCTCGACGGCAGTGAGAGTCGCTTTGGGAAATGGGGGTCGATGGAGTGGGGGGATTTGCGAGGAACACGGGAAGGGATTTTAACGTCTAGTATATAGCCGTGAAACAGGCCGTCAGGAGAGAAGCTGGAAACTGCGTGCGTCCGGTTGGTCTATACACACATCTTGCTTTTGGGTTTGGGCTCATTAATCACACGCAATATCAGATGCCGTGTAGAATATTTTCCGCTAATATATAGGAAATCATTTATAATAGGAAACAAAGAAAATATATCTTGTATTGACAGGATTATCCTAATTTGTGTCACAAAACCTATGTTTGGGTTCACTATCAGGGGTACAACGGGCTTGGTTGAGCCGTCTGTGTCCATGACATTTGCAGAACTAGAGTCAGCTCTAGCTTCTGGAGCCATCGTCGCCGGGATCCTCCACGCACAACAACCGCCGCCCTCCATGCTCCCGTCGTGGCGTCGCCCAGCAGATCTGTCTCTGCTCCGCTAGATCTGCTTCTGCTCCACCGGATCTACAAAAGGGGAGAGGGAAGAGCTAAGGGAGATGAAGAGGGAAGAGAGGGAGGAGTGTGCGAGATCGAGAGGGATCTATACCCACCGCCACAGGATCTATCGGATCCACCGCCATCGTGCCCCTAACCGTGCCCTTGCTCCTTTCACTAGTAGAGAACAGACCTTTGATCCAAGGGCCAAACCAGGCTCTAGTCCCGGGAAATATTGCGCCCGGGACTAGAGAGACCTTTAGTCCCGGTTGGTGGCTCCAACCGGGACTAAAGGTCGCTGCCCAACGGCTCCTGCGCCAGGCCGTTGTGGCAGGAGACCTTTAGTCCCGGTTGGAGCCACCAACCGGGACTAAAGGTCGACCTTTACTCCCGGTTGGTGGCTCCAACCGGGAGTAAAGCTCTTGTCCTGGCTATTGGCGTGACCCGGGACTGGAAAGTGACCTTTAGTCCCGGTTGGATCCACCAACCGGGACTAAAGGTCCCCCTATAAATCCTGCTGGCCGTCTTCTTCCTCCCCGAGCCCGCCCGAGAGCTTCAGTTCAAATTTAAGCAGTGTTCTTGCTCTTTCTCCATCCATTCTTCGATTCCTCCATCGATTTCTTCGATTCCTCCATCGATTCTTTGGTTCTAAAGGTTACCAACTTCATACTCTCATGTTTCACCATTGTCTTATCCCATTTTGTTCACTATATATATATGGTTCTTTATTGTGGCTTTTTTCATTTGTAAGCAATTTGAGCTCAAAATCACTTCAAGCTTGCATATTTACATGAAGGAAGGTTAAAGTAGCTAGTTGAACTTGCGGACCGTGTTCATCTCGGCGAGCATGTTCTCTGCCGAGCGGTAATGGATGTCAAGGAGGAGCTTTGATTCTACGAGGGAGAGCGGCAACGGTCGTGGAAGACTGTGTTCCCTTCCTCGTAGAATCGGAGCTCTTCCATAGCCAAGTACGGTGCCGTTCGGTGGAGAAATGCTCGCCGAGATGATCACATAAGCAAGGTCAACTAGTACGGATGGTTATTTATTCACACATCCCGATATCGTCGCAGTAGTCTGTCAATCACCGTACCCAAACGTAGTATATATATAAATATAAACGATAATCGATTGTTATGTGTATACACTCCCATTCTTCTATTAATTTGCGAAAATATCATGTGAATTACTTACGCAGTAAAAGACGAGAACACAATGACCATTAAAAATATCATTGTTTAGAGATATAGATAATTTTATAGTTTCTTAATTTTATTTGTTTATAAAATGAGAAATTTATAGTGTATTAAAAAATGAGTATAGAGAGTAGATGGCAACTGCTTCCAGGTCCTCGGCCTCTCATGGGTTTCCAAAGCGACTTAGGCCGGGCCTCCCTCTCATTCCATGTGGCAAGTGTCGTGATGAGACGAAGATTGTGATGGAGTACCGAGTGAAGAAGGAGGGTCCCAACAAGGGTCGTATCTTCTACAAGTGTCCGTATCGCAATGTGAGTTATTTTATCGTATTTAATGAATATGGTTAGTTTATACCTATTTTCATGATGGTTGTGATTAAAGTTCTAATTTTTTGTTTTAATTTTAGTGGGATGGCAGTGGACGATGTTTAGGCTTCTACTGGGAGGAAGAGTATGTTGAACTCGTGCAAAACTATCTTGCACAACAGGCAGATACGGCGGCTAATGAGGCAGTGATCCAGCCGAAGAAGCCCAAAGATGTTGCACAATCGGGGGATCTGTCTGTTTTTAGTTGAGATTGGTCGCGAAATCCTTGTGCTCCTGAAATGTATTTTAGCTTTAGTTCTTTTAGTGGTAGTTGGGATTGTCTACATTGTAGCGATGCTTTCATAAATTTGTACCTTTTGTGGTGGCACACATGTTGTATAAATAATTAATTATGATTTAGGTTTTAATATGGTATTTATGTCATGTAATGCAGATGAGCTGGCATTGGATGTACAATGCTGATCGCCACTCCCAAGAATTCATTTACGGCGTGCATTCTTTGTTACGTGCGGCCGAGGCAAACAAACGCGATGGTTTCATGTGCTGCCCATGTGCCATATGTAAGAATACGGTGGAATATCCTTGCTCAAGGACTCTTCATTCACACTTGTTCAAGTCGGGTTTCATGCCAAACTATATTTGTTGGACGAAGCACGGAGAAACCGGCGTTGTAATGGAAGAAGGTGAAGAAGAACAATGGGACAACAATGATATTATTCCCGATAGTACGTGCTTCAATGATACTGCAATGGGAGAAGCTGAAGAAGAGGTAGCCACAGAAGATGAGCCTGCTGATGATCTTTGTCAGGTCATTTGTGACGCACAAAGAGAATATGAAAG